ACACACACACACACACACACACACACACACACACACACACACACACACACACACACACACACACACACACACACACACACACACACACACACACACACACACACACACACAACATCCACCTACAACAGGTTGAGCCCGTGGTTCGCGGCAAACTGGGCAACGTCCCCAATGACGACGACAGACGGAGACAGGCGCTCCCCGGCAACGGCATCCACAATTGTGTCCAGCGTGCCTGTCCAGATGCGTTGGTTCGGCAGTGTCGCGTGCTTGATGACTGCCACGGGTGTGGCGCCTGTGCGGCCGCAAGCCTGCAGCTTCTCCACAATGACCGGCAGCGTTGCGCCCGCCATGATGAACACAACCGTATCCATGCGCGCCAACGCCCCCATATCGAGGCTGTCGGGGTCGTGGCCCGTTGCAATGGCAACGGCGCTGCTCCACCGCTTGTGTGTCAGCAGCACGTGGGCGGCCGCCGGCCCAGCAAACACGCTCGACACGCCAGGCACCAGCTCCCACGCGCACCTATGTAACACATCAGCATGAACGCGCAGACGACGAGTTAAGGGAGGAGGAAGAGGAGGAAGAGGAAGTGCGATATCAGCCATTCCCGCCCCCTGGAAGGTGACGCACACGGGATAATCGGCTTGTACACAAGCACATCAATGCAAGACACACACACACACACACACAAACATGCGCACGCATGCGTGTGTCAACACTCACATGTACACATGCGCATGCGCACACAAGTACGCACACCACACACACACACTCACTCACCACACTACATGCACACGCATGCACTTGCGAGGGTCACGTACCCTGCTTTGTGAAGAGCCCGCATTTCGTCGGCTGCGCGACCGAAGATGAGAGGGTCGCCCCCTTTGACGCGCGCGACTGTCAAGCCCGCTTGACACTTGGCCACAAGAAGCTCGTTGATTTCCTCCTGTGTAGCAGACTTTGGATCCTGGCCTCGCTTCCCCTTCCGAATCACCTCCGCATCTGCTCGGCAGTGCTTCAGGATGTCGTCGCCAATCAGGGCATCATGCACCACCACGTCCGCCCGTGCAATCACGTCTCGTCCCCGCAGCGTGAGCAGGTCCGCTGCCCCCGGCCCAGCACCTACCAGATACACTTTCCCAGCCGCTGCTGTCGTTGGTCTTGTCTGTGCGTCTGTTGTTCTTGTTGCGGTTGTTGTTGCTGTTCTTGTTGCTATGGTTGTTGCTGCGGTTGTGCCCTCGCGTGGCTGGGCATTCGCCATGTGCTGTTGGGCCATTGCCGCTGCAACAGCGGCTGTGCCGGCAACAGCAGCTCCAAGCAGTCGCCTCCCTGATCAAGAGCAGCAAAACACACAAAACAGGTGCGTGTGTGCAACAGTTTGTGAGAAGGGGGAGGGGAGAATTTTAGGAAGCGCATCAACAACGTAGCATGCAACACGCGCATGTAGGATGCAGCAGACAGCAGACCACACAAGCAGGATCAAGAAGCTAGAACTCAAGAAGGCAAGAAGCTGGAAGGGATCAAGCGAGGCAGGACCATCTCCCATCCATCATCATCATCATCCACTGACCAAACATTGTTGCAGATTATTGAGTGAAGTTATTCATTAATCCTCCACAATCCACACAACCAAAACAAAACGCCGCCACCCACTACTTGCTTTTGCTTCTCGCCTCGTCAAACCTGTCTGCCATGTCTGCCACAAGCACGCCGCCCAAGTTTGATCTGCGCACGCTGCTGGAGCAGCACTGCGCGCTGGCGTGCAACCCTTCCAGCTTGCAGCAGCGCCTTGTCATTGGCGGCCGCAACACCCCCAAGTATGAGGCAAAAATGCTTCGCCACAAGCAGGTACAGCGATCGCACAACACTGCGACTGGCTGTGATTTATGGTGACTTGTTGATCGCCACTCATGTTCTGTGGTTTGCATGCGGAGGTGTGATGCCTGATGGCACGGATCTGCGAGCGTGGTGGCCGATATCGCTTGTATAGATGTAGCGTGTCCTCTTTCATGACGCCATTCTCACCATTGTTGTGTGCGTACGTGCATGCGTGCGTGTGTGTGTCGACGAAGGATTGCATGATGGGCTGCGCCTTTGCAGCGCAGTCGGACGTTATGACGCGCGTTGAGGACCAGACGCGCGTTGCACAGCTTGTTAAGGACCTCAACAAGGAATCCAACACAATCCTTGACTGTGCGTGAGGATGGTTGTATTGTTTGTATTGTTCGTATTGTTTGTTTGTTGGTTGGTTGGTTTTATGTATGTGTTGGTTTGTATTGTGTGTTTGTGTGTGTGTGTGTTGTTTTTTTTTTTTGGTTGGTACGTGTGTGAAAACAAGCGCCTGCTTGCCGTGCGACTTCACGGTGGCTCGCTTCAGGCCAGGGCCCCTTGTTGCTCGTCTTTCCTCGACCCTCGCCGTGACAATATTCCCTTGCTGCGTCGTGTGTGCCCTTGAACTCAGCCTCACAGATGCGCGAGAAGCGCAACAAGATCCAGGACTGGTTCATCATGATGCGTCTCCAGTGCTCCCAGAAATGCGACAAGGCCTGTGAGGCAAGGTAAGCCATCGCGTCTCTTTGGCGAGCAAGGGGAGTCGCGTTCTTGTCACGTTCTTGTTTGTCGCGAACACATGTTTGTGCATGTGTGTGTGCGAGGGTGCATGCATGACTGTGGACTGTGCGTTGATTGATGCTCATGCAGCGGACCCATCGTCCACAATCGCTTGCGTGCGCGTGTGTGCGTGTTCGTGTTCAGGGGAGACACGGATTACAAGTGTGCGCGAAGCTGTGCGGTCGGCTGTGACAAGTTCTTTGACAAGGTCTTTGCGGATTAAAACCTGCACCTGCGCACCTTTCCTCGCAAGATGAGAGACATGCTTGCTTGTTGCACGCTTTGTTGATATTAAAGACAGCCCTTCCTTGTGCTCGTGTGTGTGTGTGTGTGTGTGTGTGTGTGTGTGTGTGTGTGTGTGTGTGTGTGTGTGTGTGTGTG